ATTCAACATGTGCAGACTTATGCACAAATAGCTAATTTCAGCATGATTTCATGTCAAAAATATATATATATATACATCAAACAATAATTATTATGATTTTCAGACTAATGCACAAAAATCCAATTTTAGTACGATATCATATGAAATATATATGCAATTGACATTCACCCTTATAATGTGCAGACTTATGAACATAAGCTCAGTATGAAATGATAGGAAATATACATCATTAAGACATTCACCATTATGATTTGCAGACTTGTGCATCGTAATCTGAACTCAAAATTAAGATATGATATTATACGAGGTGAAAAATGTGCAGACTTATGCACAAAGATCCAATCTCAGAATGATAAAATAACACACACACATATATATATATATACATCGAACAATAATTATGAAGATGTGCAGACTTACACACAATAATCAGAGCTTAGTATAAAATCATGTGATACATATGTATATATATATTGCACATTCACCATTACGATGTGCAGACTTATGCATCATAATCTGAACTCAACATTAAGATGTATTATACAAGGTGTAAATTGAACATTCAACATGTGCAGACTTATGCACAAATAGCTAATGTCAGCATGATTTCATATCAAATATATAAATATATATATACATCAAACAATAATTATTATGATGTGCAGACTAATGCACAAAAATCCAATTTTAGTACGATATCATATGAAATATATATGCATTTGACATTCACCCTTATAATGTCCAGACTTATGAACATAAGCTCAGTATGAAATGATAGGAAATATACATCGATTAGACATTCACCATTATGATTGGCAGACTTATGCATCGTAATCTGAACTCAACATTAAGATATGACATTATACGAGTTGAAAAATGTGCAGACTTATGCACAAAGATCCAATCTCAGAATGATATAATAACACATTTATATATATATATACATCGAACAATAATTATTATGATGTGCAGACTTATACATAATAACCCGAGCTTAGTATAAAATCTTGTGATATATTTATATATTGCACATTCACCATTATGATTTGCAGACTTATGCATCGTAATCTGAACTCAACATTAAGATAAAATATTATACGAGGTGTAAATTGGACATTCAACATGTGCAGACTTATGCACAAATAGCTAAGTTCAGCATGATTTCATATCAAATATATATATATATATCGAACATTAATGATTATGATGTGCAGACTTATACACAATAATCCGAGCTTAGTATAAAATCATGATATAAATATATATATATGTATATATATGTTGCACATTCACCATTATGATTTGCAGACTTATGCATCGTAATCTGAACTCAACGTTAAGATATAATATTATACGACGTGTAAATTAGACATTCAACATGTGCAGACTTATGCACAAAGATCCAATCTCAGAATGATATAATAACACACACATAAATATATATATATATACATCGAACAATAATTATTATGATGTGCAGACTTATACACAATAATCCGAGCTTAGTATAAATCATGTGATATATATATATATATATATTACACATTCACCATTATGATTTGCAGACTTATACATCGTAATCTCAACTCAACATTAAGATATGATATTATACGAGGTGTAAATTGGACATTCAACATGTGCAGACTTATGCACAAAGATCCACTCTCAGAATGATATAATAACACATATATATATATATATGCATTGATCATGCACCATTATGATGTGCAGACTTTGCATAGTTATCCCAACTCAACATTGTGATATTGTATTATACGCGGTGTTTAGTATCAATTTAAGTATGATATCATATTAAATATATATATATATACATTGGATATTAACCAATGTTTTAATGTGCAGACTTATGCACAAATAGCTTAGTTCAGTATGATTTCATATCAAATATATTTATATACATCGAACAATAATTATTATGATGTGCAGACTTATACACAATAATCTGAGCTTAGGATGAGATCATATGAAATATATACATTGGAAATTCACCATTATAATGTGCAGATTTATGAACAAAGCTCCTAACTCAATATGATATCATAACGACAAATATGTATGCATTCGAAATTCACCATTATGATGCGCAGACTTATATACAAAACAATACAATCTCAGAATGATATCATAGGAAATATATATATGCATTGGACATTCAACATTATGACGTGCAGACGTATATACAAAAAAAAATCCAATATCAGAATGATATCATATTCATTCATTAATTCATTCAAAATGGTTTATTTCAAATAAAACTTTCATCGCGGCGTTTAGCCGACTTACAAGAGTTTACAAACAAAATTAATAACAGATAATGTAATATATAACACAGCATAACATGCTATATTGAATTTGTAAAATAAATCAGTATAAATACGAGAAATATAGCTTATTGCAACATATGGAAACATAAATTAGAAAGAAGTCTGAATTAAATAGCATTAAATAGCACTGAAATCATGTGAAAGAAGGGCTAAAGTAAGCAATAAGCGGTAAACGGAGCAAGTGTATGTGGTGGAAAAAATCGAGAGTAAAACTGAAAGGTGAGGAGTAACGTTTGCAAATACACTGTAACTTATTGAAATTAAGAGTGGGATAGATTTACAGAGGAAGAGTGATAAAAGGCTGAGAGGGGAAAAGGTATAGGAAGTAGTAGTAGAAAGCGACAATGGATAATTCATATAAGAGGATACGGAAAAGAAGGGAAAGGAAGAAGAAGAAGAAGAAGAAGACGAAGAAGAAGAAATGGAAGGAGGGGAAAAAAGAGGAAAAAGAAGTAGAAGATAAAGATAAGAGAGTTAAAAGAGCAAAGGTACAATACAAAGTGGAAATATACAACAATGCCTAAAGTGGACAAGAGATGGTGGTGAAGAGAGATGATAAGCTATTGTCACATGACAGATTCAGTTAAATTAAATTAAGTTCAATTCAATATGTTAAAACTAGTCTAAAATGGAGTTTTAAAAAAATACTTTAAAAATCATGAAACAAATACAATACTTGATTGGTATGAGTGTATACACAGGCAAAGGCAAGGCAATCAAATCAAAGAATGAAGGAAGAAGAAGGAGAAGGTAAAGAAGAAAATAAGTCTAGAAATAGAGAAAAGAAGAAATAAAAGGAGAAAAAAGGGGAAAAAGAAGAAGAAAAAGAGGGGTGTCTAAGAACAACAAAGCAAAACAAAACAAAAAAAGGTGATGCAATTGCCGAGCCTGAATGGTACAAGAACAGGAGGAGCATTCATCGTTTCCTTTGGTTAAGTGCACGGATGAGGTACGGAATTGGACTATTTTGCATTCATTTAGTTTTACATCCGAGTTCATGAATTTGGGGTTTACGTCTTAGTGTTCTAGTATTATTTTCCGGAGGGAAATACTGTTTGAATTGATCGGTGTAGAGTAGGGTCTTTTGGAAGAACGACAAGCACAAATACGTTCTTCTATCAGAGAGAGATTAGATTTTCAATTCATCTAGGACAGTGTCATAAGTTGAGTAACGTGCACCGATAATCACTCTCAAAACTCTCTTTTGGACTCTTTCTAACCTGGTGATTTGGTTTTTGGTGAGGCCTCCATTCCATACAGGGGCTGCATATTCAATAACAGGCCTTATGTAGCACATGTACATGGTCAACAAGTCATCATAGGGTAGACCATGCCGTTTCAATAGACTAAGCATATTAATTTTACTGTTTGCCCTCTTTATGATATTATTTATGTTTTGATCCCATTTTAAGTCATTCTGTATAATGACTCCTAATATTTTGGTGGCTTTCACAGTAGCCAGTTCATGATTTCCGGTAAAAACTGCAGGATCGATTTGGGGAACCCGTAGGAAACAACCATTCATTTGAGCACATTTTGGGGGGTTCATCTTCATATGATTATGATCACACCAGGTTAGAAGATAGTCCATAGACTTTTGTAATTCAGATGGTTGGTTACAGTTCCTACATTCAACATATAAAATATATATATATGCATTCATGCATTGTAAATTCACCACTATCGGATGTGTAGACTTATGTACAAAACAATCTAATCTCAGTATAATATTACATGAAATATATTTATGCAATGGAAATTCACCGTATTGTTGTGCAGACGTATGCACACAAATACAATTTCAGAATGATATCATATGACATTTATATGCATTGGATATTCAACTTTATTACATGAAGACTTATGCACGCGAATCTGATCATAGTATGATATTACATGAAATATGTATTAAATGGATGTTCACCATTGTATTGTGCAGACTTATGCACTTATATATTTGACTCAAAAGAGCGAGAGATATATAATATAATATGAAATAAATATACATTGAACATTAAACATCGTGTTCAGACTTATGCACACAAATCAAGACAAGAGATTGAGATATGAGCTCATAAGAAATGTATATACATTGGGAATCCACCATAGTATAATGTGCAGACTTACGCGTATCTAAAGATACGATATGATATGAAATATGCAAATATTTGCCATATACCCTGATAATGCCCATAATTATACACATAAAATCAATCTAAGCAAGGAGATATCATATCATATCAATTATATATATATATATATATATATATATATATATTTATATATCCGTATGGATTGTCCTACCTACCTAGGCGGTTAACAAAAATATTATTATATTACGAAAATGGCCCATTCTTTAAAATAAAATACGAAAGAAACAAAAAAGGGACTCACGTACAAATTAGGCAATTTGAAAAGAATGATAGTTGTGAATACATTCGAAACACATTTCTAAATTGCCATTTTGAAGGCAACTTCTATTACTAAACATGAAATAGTTTTAAAAGCAAAAGTGTGGGTATGATTATGATATGTTCCTTTTTGTATTTTCTAAGAACGTAAAATGAGTGATAATTAGCATGCATGGATCAAAATTAAACCAGAAATATGTCAAGAATTGAACTATTTAGAGTTTTGTAATCTTTCTATTTCATGCTAACTGTCCTTATCGTCGTTCAGGAGGTCGTCTGCTAGTCGACGGTGATTAATCGCGATCAGAGCTTTCTTCAACTTTTCACTTTCTTCGGACCTTGTTGTCCTGTTCCTCCAATCGCGGAGCATACTAAGTGTTCCCATGTATGTGACAGTTTGGTATTTTGCGTTCGTGTGTATGTAACGTTGTATTTCCGGAGGTTCAAAACCCAAGACACCGCCTAGATTGTCGATCTCATCATCCTTATGAATCCTCTTAGCTACAGTCCTGAGAATGTCGTCAAAATGCTGCTCCTTGGATTCTTCGGTAGGTCTTTATTTGTATGGAGAAAATGTGAAATAAATGTTACTTTTTATACAATAATCTCACATGACAGATTTTACAATGGATTGCACTAGTTTGAAGTTTCAAGCGTGAAGCTTTTGTCCCAAATAACTTGAATCAACTCGAATCAAATAACTGAGATTGTATGTAAATACATAATTTACATTTGCTCCTGGATTTGTCTTCCTGTGTGATTAAAATACGCGTTCTATGTTTTATATTACGTGCATTGTGAATACCTACTCTGTATTTTCCGGATATTTCCGAAACATAAACATGGATTATAATTGTTTTCTTCTTTTTTTCTCTCTCACTTCTTTGTTTAATAGATACAATCGTACACTTTTCTCTTTTTATATGATGATTAATGATGATTATTTTACCTAAGAAATCGTGCATATTATGATGATTAATGATGATTATTTTACCTAAGAAATCGTGCATATTATGCTTGTAAGTAAACAACCAGGGGATTGAGGAATTGATCATTAGGATTATCTTGGGTTTGAACCCGGGACCTCCCGGTAACGAGGTCCCTGCTCTACCCCCCCCCCCCCTCTACCACTAAGCCATCGCGCATCGCATCTACCCAGATTATATGGTATTTCATTTTGTGTGGCGCGGATGACATGCAGGAGTCTTAATGTAGAATATTAATGAGTGTCAGGACGTAATATCGTCAAATTGTATTATATTGTATTTTCTTCCTTCCATTGATTAAGTTACGGGCTTTTCCCGAAATTAATTTATCTAATATGGGAATCTGAATTGTTGTAAAAAATGACCTATATGATGGCACTGCAGAACCGTTGAATACACATATTGTAACAGAACGCAACGAACCTCGTTTATACCTTTTGCTCTATGTTTGATTATAGTAAATTATTATTAAAGAACGATATCGAAAGATTACTATCGTTATTTAAGATATGCATTATTCCATCGATGAGATTTTAATTAAGAATTGATTAGCGAATATCCACATCAGCGATTAAGAGATAATTCTGACCTGGCTTTAGAAGTAGAAACTTCATCGGCTGCTGCTGCTGCATCTGTAGGGGGACTGCTAGCTGATGTGGATGCTGACGGTCCCGGGGACGCGGATTCTGCTTTATCTGGCGATGCCACGGTTGTATCTGATTGAAGGAATGGGAAATTGTATTAACTTCGTACAAAATATAAATTTAATATATTTTGTTATTGCTTGCATAATCATTTTGCATTAGAAACTTAATTACAATTTAATTACACAAATAACAATTATCGAGTGATTTAATCGTGTTACATCAATTTAATAATGTATGATGGTACTAATTATGCTTTTCGGTACTTCAACATCGTCTTCAAATGACAGGATACTAGAATTGTCAGACACGCTTCTGCATGAAAAGTTCATCGTTCTTCGACACGAAACTATATTTATTTAATGCCTTTGGTTTAAGATGTTACTCCATTAAAAGACAATGGCTTTGTATTTAATCACATTTCATCTTTTTCACGTTAACTATTTAAGTTTAAAAAAATTAAGATTTTGACCTTCAAAGTGACAGATACTCAATATTGATATTTCATATATAGGCTTTTCAAATACAAGGATTATATTTTGAATGCTCACACAAACTTATACCCAGCATGTTCTAACTGCCGTTCGGGGGGCATATATGTGGACCTAAAGGTATATTGAAGAGTATTTGTGTACTGTACATGCATCTGCATCATTATGACATAGATTTCACTTGAAGAGTGGCTTTTTGAACACGTGTTTGGTGTAAATAGTTCAACAAAATAGTGATTAAACAAAAGGTACCGAGCAATCAGAATGAGTGTATTGTCATCTTAAAGACGAAATAGGCAGTTTCATTTTAAGTTTATATCCGTTGATGACCCTCGAATTGTCCGTCCAAATGTATGTCCCTTATATATTTTGGGTTTACAAGTCTAAAAGAGTTGGAGCTTGGCTTTGGAATTAAATCGATGTGGAATAAAAATCAACCTCCTCGATTAATTAAGTTCAGATAGAAAACACAAACAGAACCAAAGTCAAGACTCCCGTTTCTATATCATTCGTCATTAACAATAAATATTTCAAATAGTCTATATTCAGAAGGTAAGCATGGAAACCAAATGTTTTCAACTTTAGTCACCTTTGGTGTTATCTTTTAAAATGAAACATAAATCGCTTTCTCAAGTTGCGGCGGTTATTTTGTACATGCCTTCAAACATCAAAACTGGTCAAATGTCCTAAGATTATAAATTAAATTTGTAGAGTTCTCGGTTGACTTGATTCTAGTAAATGTTGTTTACCTTCTAAGTGCATGGGAACCAAGAGCCGCTTTGTTGTGCTTTGTTTCAAGATGAAGTGTAATATCACTTTATTCTTATTAGTGGTTGGTGGACCCACTGTGAACATCGCTTTGTGCTCAGTCAGATGGCGAATCTCACTTTCCTGTAGGGTCTACAAAAAAAGGGTTTTGTCAGTATAAACCTTTAAATACATCGTACGTTTATAAGACTTAAGAATTTTCTTCAAATTGTACGTAACCCGTCAGACAAAAATGCTGCTAAACGGATCTCCACTGTCGCTAATAACGTTGGAATATTTTTTGTTTACCCCAATTTATGGAATTATTTTGACAATGATTTATTCCTAATAGATCTAGATAATAGTATACATTCTCAGATTTTATTGAACAATAATTTGCTAATGTTTGTGTTGCGTGACTGCTAAAGCATGTGTGTGCTATATGCTTATCAACTAGGGGACCTACGCCCTTAAGCCATCTATAACAGTAATTAGGATAAATGCCCCACAAAAGGGCACTAATATAGCTCATCGACACAGTTTTGATCCTGGGGTCTCACAGTTACGAGGCCATTGCTGTGCCACTGAACCATGACTGTACGCAGCGGGGGCTAGGGTAGAGGGCAGTTCCCACAAATAAAAAAGAAGAAAGAAAATGCAATAAATTATCAATAAATCATTGCATTTTACCCCGGTCCCCAACATAAAAAAATCCTCTGTACGGCCATGCATTATGGTTCAAGGCATGGGTATGATTTAAACTGCTCATATGAATGTTACCGTGGTCTCGTCTTCCGTGCTTTCTTTGCAAGTTATCCTTAATCCTCCGGAACGCCACCTAACCAAGAATTGCTCTCCGGGGATCGGAGCCATGTATTTGTCATGCACCTTCAAAATAATGTTAAGAAAAAATAACGAATAGTTCAAATGCATTTCCACTCAACAAAGTATATCATCAGTATTAGACAGAGAAAGGGGGAAATGAAAGAACAAAAAGATACATACAAAGACCAAAAAGGACATTGACACATGAATATATCGAATTTAAAACTGCTGAAGTTTAAAATTGAAAGGTCTAAATGAGGATATACCGAAAATAAGAATCTGCAAATGTTACTAGATATATTTCAGCCTTAACTCTTTGTTTGCTTTGTTCGCCGATTTGCACGGACGTAGGCGTGCCAACTTCGCATTTTTGCACAGATGTATACGAGTCAATTAGACATTCATAATACCGCTCGCAGTGTGTAGCCACGCGTTGCGTTTACTATTGTTTACATTGTATACATCGCACACTTTCCGGTAAACTGTTTTTCTTCATAGTGTTACATTCGAAATTACCGTGTATTTAGCGGTTTTCTTTGGATTTTTTTTACTGATGTTACGATGGCACCTGCTGGAAAACGTCAACGTGTGTTTAGTGTAGAGGAGGCTCGAGATCTTGTTACTATGGAAGCATGGAGCATGGACTCTGATTCCGACGAATCGAGCAGTGACGAAGACTCTAGTGATAAAAGTGTTCCCTGAGAGTAGACTGATAGAATAAGAATGAATAAAAATTAATGAAAGAGCTAGAGATGACAGCAAGAAAGAGAGTAGACTGATAGAATAAGAATGAATAAAAAAAATGAAAGAAGGAGATAGAGATGACAGCAAGAAAGAGAGTAGACAGTGATAGAATAAGAATGAATAAAAATAATGAAAGAAAGAGATAGAGATGACAGCAAGAAAGAGAGTAGACTGATAGAATAAGAATGAATAAAAATTAATGAAAGAGCTAGAGATGACAGCAAGAAAGAGAGTAGACAGTGATAGAATAAGAATGAATAAAACTAATGAAAGAAAGATGTATCCTGTCTTGCCGTCATCTTTATATCTTTCTTTTATTATCTTTATTCATTCTTATGCTATCAGTGTTTACTCTCTTTCTTTCCGTCATCTCTATCTTATTATTATTATCATTTTCCTATCTATATGTACCCTATGTCTTGCCGTCATCTGTATATCTTTTTCTTATTATCTTTATTCATTATTATGCTATGAGTGTAATACTCTCTTTCTTGCCGTCATCTCTATCTCATTATTATTATCATTTTCCTATCTATATGTACCCTATGTCTTGCCGTCATCTCTATATCTTTCTCTTATTATCTTTATTCATTCTTATGCTATCAGTGTTTACTCTCTTTCTTTCCGTCATCTCTATCTTATTATTATTATCATTTTCCTATCTATAATTATGTACCCTATGTCTTGCAGTCATCTCTATATCTTTCTCTTATTATCTTTATTCATTCTTATGCTATCAGTGTTTACTCTCTTTCTTGCCGTCATCTCTATCTTATTATTATTATCATTTTCCTATCTATATGTACCCTATGTCTTGCCGTCATCTGTATATCTTTCTCTTATTATCTTTATTCATTCTTATGCTATCAGTGTTTACTCTCTTTCTTGCCGTCATCTCTATCTTATTATTATTATTATTTTCCTATCAATATGTATCCTATGTCTTGCCGTCATCTCTATATATTTCTCTTATTATCTTTATTCATTCTTGTGCTATCAGTGTTTACTCTCTTTCTTTCCGTCATCTCTATCTTTTTATTATTATCATTTTCCTATCTATATGTACCCTATGTCTTGCCGTCATCTCTATATCTTTCTCTTATTATCTTTATTCATTCTTATGCTATCAGTGTTTACTCTCTTTCTTTCCGTCATCTCTTACTATCTTATTATTATTATCATTTTCCTATCTATATGTACCCTATGTCTTGCCGTCATCTCTATATCTTTCTCTTATTATCTTTATTCATTCTTATGCTATCAGTGTTTACTCTCTTTCTTTCCGTCATCTCTATCTCATTATTATTGTTATTTTCGTATCAATATGTATCCTGTCTTGCCGTCATCTTTATCTCTTTCTCTTATAATCTTTATTCACAGTAAAGTCCTTTCATTTCATATCACTATTTCTCTCTCATAATGTCTCTCACGTCCGTTCTCCATATTTTATTCATTGCATACTCCACTCGTCAATCATTTCTGATAATAAGCTCTCTCACAATAAAGTAAATGGAAAACAATGCAATATAGTTTATATTTTAAGATTGATTCATTCTTTCTTTGTATATCTATGGCTGTGATAAATGTACTTGAAATCAATTTTATTGAGGGGTAAAGAAGGTGAGAGAACAGATGCGGTGAACATTCATAATGAGACATTTCAATAAGATGCTGATTATGTCATGTATATCACATATAATATATTATGCCTATACCATTTTTACATGCTCATACCAGTGGGCAAAATCAATAACATTCTCTTATTTCTTATTGACTTATCATGGCACAACAAAGAAAAACATCCCCACGACGTCCCTTTTCATGCCCCGCTAAACCGGACATTGACAATAACCTGGGGTAATAGGGATTTCAATGGGCAGATTAGCCCATTGTCAAGGGTGGCTGAGCGGGGTACTTTCAAGTCTCTCCCTATTGAACTTCTTTTCTTCAACAACCTAAATACTAACCTTCTGAATTGTTAGAATACTTGAGCAAGGTATGTAAAGAAAGGTAAGAAGTCCACCTTTCTAATAGATTCGATTTGAAGATGTCTTATCATTGCTAAATAAGAAATTCTAGAGGGATAAAAAACTGCCGTAAATAAGAAAAATTAAACATTATATAATTATGATTATTATAAAAATGATAATTCAAAATATAACAAATGACGGTTCATCGAAAAGCACGTTTTCCGGTCTACAACTTTGCTGCACAATATTTTTCATCATGATCATCCAGTGAAGAGTTATAGCCTCTTGATTCAGCAGAGTCAATAAAGATTCCCTCGAAATGTGTGACCCTAAAAGAATGTGGCACAGGGGGGTTTTTTAAGTGGCGCATAAAGAGTTAATAATGAAGATAAGTACAAACAATAATGATAACAATATTTGTTAACATCAATTTATTGTGCAAACTTGCTCAATAATTAAAGGAGACATGATAATAACCCAAAATAAAACCAATTTATGGGTAGATCCAGGGCATTTTAAACGTGGCAATAACTGGGTCTTTTTTTACACAAGGTAAGCACATCAGTATTAGTGCTTCTCTTCCTGCGGGCCCTCCAATTATTATTACCTTATCTTCGCCATGTACCCATTTACATCTAGGTGGAGAGTAGTAATTGCGGATTAATGTCTTGCCAACGGACGTCAGTGCCTGGCTAGGATTCAAACCCCCAAATGCTTCGATTGAGAGTCAATTGAATGGACCACTATACACAAGACATCCATGTAATCCGTTTACACTTAAACTTGATGAATGTTCACGACCGTACCTGAATGTTTTGATGGTGCTACAAATGCAAAGCAAAACACGATAAAGAGAGGGGAAGAATATCAAGAAGACGAAAAGACAAACTAACCTCCAGTTTTTTGATGTGTTCATCTCTTACATGGACAAACAACTCGTGTTCATCATTCTTCGAAGTTGACACAGGAATATATGGTGTACAAATAACACGTTTCCCTATGAATGTCTTTCTGATGATAGATACAATCCAAAATTCGGAGAAGTGGTTCATGTAGATATCAAGGTCGCGATGTCTTACAACACATCGTGGGCTGCCGTTGGTAGAAGGAATCGCCGTAAAACTGTCAGAAGCTGTACATGCAAAATATCAGCAAAGAAATCTAGTAAACGTACGTTTACCTAAACCCTTTAATATAATTTCAAAAACCTGTACTTGTATGTCAAATTCATCACAAAATATCGCAGTTCTCACATTCATCGTTTCTAACAGTCATCCTAATTCTTTGCCCCCTCCCATCTAATACTACATCATGTCTTAGGGTTTGAAAGGCGCTTTGGGGGGGATAAAAAACAGCCATAATTATACGTTTGTATTTGTGCAATTAACCTCCTTAAAGCATATATATTACTTTATTTAATGAATAGCAATGTGAATGGGACTGAGAGAGACAATGAGAAAGACCAGACTTTACCATTCTTGCGATAATAAATGACGACTTCCGCAGCTTCTGGCTTTGTGAATATACCACAATGGGGCATCGTTACTGTCACCGGAACGTCAAAGTTTGCATCAGAGGGAGACATTCTCAAGCCGACGGTAATGATGGCTTCTGTTTCCTTCAGTACCAACTCAGGTGGAATGTCATGGATTGGTTCGATGGTGACATCCTTCGCTCTGTAAGCTTCGCTTGGTGGAATTCTTACTTCAATACCATGCTTCTCAAGCCGAATCATGCCAGTATCCTCACTTAAATCCTCCCTACTTTGAACTGGGATTTCATCCTGGAGAGCGCTCGGTAAAGAGATATGGTGAACGGACTCTGTTATCTGTTCCTCGTCATCTGTAGGTTCTGAAGTGTACTCATCATGCGGTCTGAAATCCGCCGGCTTTACTCTTTCTCCAGATTCCATCCATGCAAAAATGGCTTGCTTGGAATGCTCTCTTCCTGTAAATGATTTAAGGTACACTTCTAGTATTAATTAAGGATTTGTATAGTGCATTTTTGCCGAAATAAAATCCTAAATTTGAAAAGAATTACCAACTGTGAGGTTGTTGGACTTTTTAAAGAGTAATTTTACAACAAGACTAACAATAATACATAGAAGATAATGTTGTACCTGACAATCTTGCATTTAAATTATACTTAGGGGATTTAAAAAAAAAAAAATCGTTTCATTAATATTGTATGAAATCGAACATGTAAACATGATTCAATTACAGCACTTTGGAAAATCATCCGTTTCTTAACTTGCCCCCCCCCCCCAAAAAAAAATAAATAAAAATAAATAAAATAAAATAAATAATAATAATAATTAAAAAAAAAAAAATATATATATATATATATATATAAGGGGATGCCTACCTTCATCTTCATGATGCTTGTGAATACTCAGACCTCTGAAAGGAAAGACAGAAATTGTAGGGAATTGTCAGGGAATATCCAGGTACAGACAAAAAATACTTTAGCAATCTAAGATTCTATTATTAACCCGAGATTCATTTATCCTTTTGAAGAAGAAAAAAGGTCCGTTGATTCAGTGGATCGTTATTATGACATTTCATATGATTATCCAAAATCGAAAATAATATCAAAGAAGGCGTAGAAGCCGTCAATAAAAAGACAAGTCTTATCCCGACCTCACTGGGGATAAACCCTTGATATGTCTTCGACCCTCCACATATTGTTCTTTACTGGATCTTTTTATTTATAATGTAATATGTTGATGATTTTTTTTTTCTTTCTGCATTTAATTGTTTTACTTATTTTACTGTATTTATGTTTTTGTGGGAATAAATAAATTGAATTTAGTTTTCGCAATTCTAATTACAAGTATTCAGGGTGGGCCCATGTGAAACAAGAGAAAGGCAGGAAATATACCTTTGAACTCTGTCAGGTATGTGTCTAGAAGTTGAGAAAGTCCGTCTATGCGTACGAGCTAAATCGGGAATGTGTGCGCCATCTGAAATGAACATTAAACAAATTAAATTACAGTATCATAAATATCTGTCTGAGACTCAACGAACATATTTAAGCTCGACACAAAAACCAAAATGTTGTCTCCTTGCAAGAATCTTGAAATTAACTCACAAACTACCTTTGAGTGTTGAAATGTTATGTAAAAGCAGAATGCGTGAAGCGTGCTCACCTAATGCTATTGAGAAATACTTCCCAATATATTAAATTTACTAATTATTACATGTACCAAATAACTAAGATATACACCTTTTTCATTCTATGTTATTCAACAATAAGAAGAAGAAATTGAATACAAGACAGGGCAACTTACAACGTTTCGGAAAGCAACCCTCCACCTCCTCCTCCAGCAACGTGCTGAAACTGATAATAATAATAACACCATCAACAACAACACTACTAAAAATAATGATAATAATAATAGTGATAATAATAATGATAGTGTAATAATAATAATGATAAAAAGATCATTATGATCATGATTATAATGATTATGATAATAACGATTATATAAAACTGTTGTTCACCCATGGAAGCCTCATCAGCCTCATTGCTTTTATTCCTGAGGACCTGCAATTAATTTTACTCATGATTCTTTTGGATTTGTTTTTCTAGTCTCGGGTCAAAGGGAGAGAGTTTTATCGCAAATTACAAAAAACGCCAAATCCATGCTGGATCTGAAATAACTTTTCCTCAAAACCCGTTTAATCAGAACATATTTTAGGTTAAAACACTGTACTTTGGCAAAATGCTATAAGCCCATTTAAGTTATGTATCTGATAGAAGCTAGAAACTAATAATACATTTTGAAACGCATTTCAATTCATTTTTTGTACCTGCTTAACGAGTCGCTTCTGACACTAGGAGTGTTAGGTCGCTTATGATGGAGCCTCTCTGCCCAGTGCCCCCTTGCTCCTGGAATCTTTGGAAGTTAAAAAAAATCATCACCAGTTGCTAAGTAACTTATTAGACATATTCAAATGGGTTACAGCAATACTAGTGTTAATCTTTTTTCTCCAAACAAAGTCTTTATTCAATACTTCTCAAAGCATGAAATATTATAAAGCAAATGTACAAAAATGAAGGATACATACATTTCACAGAGAAAGGTGAAGGAGAGAAAGAGGAGGTTGTTTTGAATGGCTGTGGCATAAAAGTGATTATTCATTACTGTTCCCTCAAGGACTGATATTTGATATCTGAAATTATTTCTCAGCACTGCTTGTTGACAGTCAATTCACTCACTCGGGGTCGAAGCCCGGTGGAGGAGCCTTCCATGTTTCATCGAAGGGCTTAAATGAGGATCTATAATACAGATTATGACACTCCCTTTGCTGTTTTTCCTATGTAAGCAGACACCTTCTATGTTATTTGGGACAGATTAATGTCAAACTCATTTATCTATTATACATTTTTTCCTAACATTTATATCATCACATTCAATGTCTCGAATTCAAACTCAGTGTCTATACAAGTTCCCCATCTACATGAGTTCAAGAGAAATTAATAGTAGTCCACCACGCCTAAGAATCACCACTGCTCCTAGCTCAATCGGAGATCATCTTTCTGTCCTGTCAAATAAAAACCTAAATATGCTGAAAGAGTTGTAAATGTGGTTGTCTGCTTTAATACAGGTCTCTGTATAAACAATATACATTGATCACGACTAGACTAACGTCGAGCCCACAAATAAGTGGTAAAGATCTTGGGCCCGTTTCATAAAGCCTACCATTGATGGTAATTTTGCCATTAATGGTAACGTCAATGAAAACCTTAATTTGATTGACTGTTGAGTAACGTTGACATGGTAGATAATGCTGATGGAAAAGTCTCTAGAAATATTAACGACAAACATCTACCGTGTAGAAACACTCACCTCCACCTCATACGCATGTCGGCCTACTGTCGGAATGGCTCTTGGTTCTTCACGAAGGAATTCTTCTTCGAAGAAGTCTTCCACATTTGTGTCATGTTTCTTTTCTTTAGAGGGAAGGTAGAAATATAAAAACCAAAAAGATGTGTTTAACCTTATTTATCAGTTAAATTAGAAGAATAAACTGTATTGTACGATTCCTCATTGTTTCTAAAGGTTCTGTCTATCCTCTGGTCTGTTTTAGAATGAATCTAATTGTGTTTTAACATTTTAGTGCGCTCTTACCCGCTCTTCGTCGTTGTTTCGAAACAGGGGCTGAATCTTCTGAATCGCTCAAGGACTTCCACACTTCTCTTAGATGATCGTCTGCTAAGGAGACGGAATGCTGCAAGCATTTCCAATAGCGGATCATGAAGATAGCGGCCTTTTGATTTGGGGTATAAACCCCAGACTCATGCTGTCTGCTTCTGAACTGGATGCTGTCAAGTGTATGGTATGACAAACCCAATGCTAGACCGAGATGGTAGTACTGATCAGTGTTTATCTCTTTTGTGATGAATTCTTCACTCGGGATTTCTTCGGCTTTGCTATAAATGAAAATACAGGTAGAAGAGAGACTGATCAAATAGAATGCCGTTATTTCACTGATTAGTAAAGCTAGATAATATTGTTACCTTGTATCCCATCCGGATCTCAGTTAGGAGATACTACCTCCATTATCTGACTCCGAGTCTGTTCTGTTCCTGGTCGTGATTCCCGAAGCCGGATATTGCTTACTAATAAGAGCGTTCCAGAGTTTGTTACCTATTTCATACATTTTGGAGTATAATCCCATCACTTTAAAAATTACATGAACATAGTCGAGAAAACAATATTCATATTGTCACTTTTAATTGCATTCCAGGGGCTGATCTTGAACTTTTTTTTACAGACTTGCAGATTACCACTTCTGGGGAGTGTTTCACAAAGATCCTAAGTTGAACTTATCTCTAAGTTGGACTTAAAATTTATGGAAAGCCATTGGCATCTGTGAAAATATTTTGTAAAATTTTTGTTTAAAGCAAAAACATGTTGATTCCAATTATTCATATTTTCTATTATCATGGGAGATTCTATGTTCTTGATGTGGAATTTATAAAAAGTCTAAAATACTTGAATTTCTGCTTTTGAATATATTTCATTTTAAGGCTCCAATGGCTGTCCATAATTTTTAAGTCCAACTTAGTGTTAAGTTCTACTTACGATCTTTGTGAAACACCCCCCAGGAGGAAGTACATTCGAGGCCCGAATGGTTCTGGGGAGAAGGTGATCAGTTTTGAATCTCATGTTGGAGGAGATGAGTTGACATCCCTTTAGGATATCATGAGGTTGTGTAATGTAGTTCAGTTTTGAGTATGGCGATTTGGTCATGAATGGCTTTGAAGAAGAGTTAGTGCCCAGCCACAGGTCGTTATTTTTTAAGTTGTTGCTAATACATTGCATTATTCTGATACGGTCTGATACATGAACGTCCATTCCCATTTAATGGTCAGTGACAAGTTTGGCTCCTCCTTTCTAAACACCCTCTGGTTTGTTGATGTGCTTGCTTAAAAAATGATCACTTATGCTACATGCGTATTTACCATGTTCAAGATGAGGCCTTACTAAAAATGACAAAAGAGTAAATGCAGCTCTCTGAATATTCTTGGTTGAGAGGCCAGAAAGTTTTAATCCCAATCATTGCATTGGTGAATTCTTTATCTGCTTGGTTCTCCAACAATAAATTTTGGTCAACTCCGAAGTAAGGATGTTGGTTTAACTCCTTGAGAGTCGTACCGTTCATTGTGTATATTCGGTTGATAAGCTTTACCTTGTTCCTGAAAATTCAAGGAACATTTTGAGCACTTGGCAACGATGAATTCTACTTTCACTTAATCATTTTAATTGTCCGCCCAGCTAAAGAGCCTATTCACATCATCGGAATGGGTGTCATTAGTCGACTTAATTGATCGCCCGGTAGAGGATGCAATAATCTACAAATAGCATCGTACTCGACGAGATGTTTCCATTGATATTGTTGATATAAAGAGGAAGAGTAGAGGACCTATGGCAGAACCCTTTGGGACGCCTGAAATAACTTCAGCCGGGTCTGCAGCATTTCACATCAACTAAGTTTCGTGTTCTTTATGTCAGCGTGTTCTCGGTCCAATGCAAAAGTTGTACCCCTGATGACTGAACTATTAGTGTGGCATTTAAATTTAGCCAGACTTTCATATCTTTTGGATTTGTTCCTACTAGTTTTTTCAATAATAAAGTAATAGACGATTAATCAATCTCGTGTAATGATGTTAAAATTGTTAATCTGACGCGATTTAAATTATATTTTTTCCATCTTGTTAATGTTATATTTTCTGATATAAAAATAATAATAATCACACACAAAATTTAGAGCATGTCACTCAAAATTTAGAGCATGTCACTCAAAGACAAAAAGCATAGAAGTGATAGTGATCAGCAAACAACGATATACAAAATATTGTTCATGTAATAATGTTTATTTATTAGAGTACTTTTACCTGAGGTCAAAATTTGATCCAGAGACCATCTCATCTAGGTGTGAGTGTCTGTCGGCGGAAAATCCTTGAAGAGAAATTATAAAATTGTTGAGTGACCACACGTATCTCATTGTTACAAGAAGAGTTTCGATTCCACGTCTTGCATAATTATGGGGATGATAAAAAGAAAAGCATTCAAAAAACATACATCTATTTAGTTCTATGTTCTCGGCAGTACCGTGCAATAATATACTTGTTCCTACTTTAAAATCACTCAAGGATAGGTTTTCGTCAACTTCACAACTTGAGATATGTTAGAATATAAACATAGCGACAAAATATGCAATGATCCTTGATTCCGTGAAAATGATAGAATTGAACATGTTTAAACAATAAACGCCTTTATATCTATTGAGAAGGAAGATGAGTTAAAGAAGGAGGGGAGGAGAAGAAGATTAACAAACCAGTACGTATAACCACGAAAGCCATGCTGGTTTTTGGTTCGTTGGTACTTGATGCTGAAACCGAGATGTTGATCATCTGCGTTCTGGCATTGGTTTCCGTCGTGATGGGTAACGAAACCAATGTCTTCTGCCGGTTGAATAAATCTTTTGTAGAGATGATCTGATAAAATATTAAATTTACAATATTTAGTGTTTATTTCTTCCTATAGCATTGAACCAGTGTTAAGTACGATGTGGACGATAATTTCCGACACTAATCGAATTCAACCATGTGCCCAACGCCAAATCCAGACCTCATCATAACGATTACCGTAGAACTAACCTTAACCCAAAATGCACCCCGGACACATACCCTATATGCTTTTAACAAATAGAACCACTAACAATGCCAAATAAATACCTGAATTGCTATTCGTTTGTGTTTGTGACACACACGAATTTGAGGATTATCAACATTAAATTATTTATTCTATATATGTATATTCAATTCAAGAGTTCTTTATTCGCTTTAAAAAGCACATATAAAAAAATAACAAAAAATATACAATATATTCTACAAATAGGCACATTCACAATATATGTAAAGACAAAAAAACAACATCAACAACAGAATACATGTATAACAGGGTAAGATCAGAGTGTGCATAAATACAAGATAATTTCCTCGCACTCCTCTCGGTTAAGGAAACCCTTACATAAATAATCATCCCTCGAGTTGATCAATTCCTTTACTTGTTCAACTATGCGTATTGTCTCATCATTCACTTGGCATTGCACAGCCCACTGCTTTTGAATTTCATTGTTATCCATGAAGTACTTATCATTCAAGAATCTTATGTTACCTCCTAACACAGAATGAGCTCCATACCTGGCCATTCCAGCTATATGTGCCACTGTATAATTTTTGGAATTCATAGCTTTCACAACAAAAGATAAACATCTTTTTGCAAACCATAACTCTGGATCCATAACACCTGCTAAATAAGGCAAAAGATGACAGTGTGTCTGCCATGGAATTTTCCAAATCCTTCTTATTGCAACCCGCCATTGTCTACAAATATTATCAAAACATTTATCAAACAGAGGATATAACTGTGAGCCATAGAAACTCGAACAATATTTATGAAACAATATATTTCTTATGTGAGAGTTAGCATATTTGAAATTAAACAAAAACATATTACATTGTCGATTGAAATCTCCAACACACTTTGAGATATCAAAATCATTTATATTCTTAGAAATATCATTCCCTAGATGAGTTACTTTTTATGCAATATCAATATGTCTTCCATTTATCGTGATTCCTGGATCCATAACTGGTTTACCATTACAGCTGAAAACTATTAACTGACTCTTTTCAGGGTTAAACAGAATATCAAATTTAATGGCATAATCTAAACAAGTTTTAATCATTTCTTGAAGAGCAGTCACGCTAGGTGACAGCAGTGTCAAGTCATCTGCATAACCAAATGCTCCTGCAAAAACATTGCCCATAAAGCACCCTATCCCATTGTCACATAACTCTTCTATCAGCCCATCTAGATACAAACAGAACATGCAAGGAGAGATAACTCCACCCTGTTTAACACCATTTTTAACTGTAAAATAATCAGAATATGCATTGTTCCATTTCAACCTTAGCCTTTGATTCTTATACATATTAAGCAATAGCCTGCATATCATTGGGCAGACCCCTTTGCTCAGCATAATGTCAAACAATTTCACATAATTAACTCTATCAAATGCTTTACTAGCATCTAGCAATAATCCATACACATTACTCCCTTCATGATTAAAGTACGATACAGTTTCTTTAACCATAGCAGTACATAGTGTAGTTGATAACCCTGCTTTGAATCCAAACTGTAGGTCATTAGTCTGCAAGTTCCCTTCTTCCCTTTTCATAAATACATAATCCAAAACTTTACCAATGATACTACCAAGTGTTATTGCACGAAAGTTTCCTGAATCGCCCAAATTTTTCCAACGACCTTTAGGTATTGGTACCATTGTACTTTTGAGCATACCATCTGGCGACACTCCATGCCATAACATGGCAGTAAAAAGCACTGCTAAATATCCACTGATTATTTTCTTTCCATGTATAATATGATCAGACATCACACCTGTTACACCATCACTTTTGGAATGATTTAACCTAATTATTGCTCTAGATACTTCATCTCCTCCTATAACATGGTCATTCTGTAAACACTCATTACATTCACATTTCTCCTGTGTAGTGGAGTTTATGTGATTCAATAACGTTTCCATATTTCCTTCATCATATCCAATACTTTGATATATCCTTCCAAATTTCAATGCAAACAACTCTGCTATATTTTCTTCCCCCTGAACACCATCCACTCTGTTTGGGTAACCCTTAGGCTTTTTTGAATGTTTCTTCACCTCTTTCCAAAAATTTCTGCTATTCTTCTCTTTTAATGCATTTGCCATATATATATTCAATTCAAGAGTTCTTTATTCGCTTTAAAAAGCACATATAAAAAAAATAACAAAAAATATACAATATATTCTACAAATAGGCACATTCACAATATATGTAAAGACAAAAAAAACAACATCAACAACAGAATACATGTATAACAGGGTAAGATCAGAGTGTGCATAAATACAAGATAATTTCCTCGCACTCCTCTCGGTTAAGGAAACCCTTACATAAATAATCATCCCTCGAGTTGATCAATTCCTTTACTTGTTCAACTATGCGTATTGTCTCATCATTCACTTGGCATTGCACAGCCCACTGCTTTTGAATTTCATTGTTATCCATGAAGTACTTATCATTCAAGAATCTTATGTTACCTCCCAACACAGAATGAGCTCCATACCTGGCCATTCCAGCTATATGTGCCACTGTATACTTTTTGGAATTCATAGCTTTCACAACAAAAGATAAACATCTTTTTGCAAACCATAACTCTGGATCCATAACACCTGCTAAATAAGGCAAAAGATGACAGTGTGTCTGCCATGGAATTTTCCAAACCCTTCTTATTGCAACCCGCCATTGTCTACAAATATTATCAAAACATTTATCAAACAGAGGATATAACTGTGAGCCATAGAAACTCGAACAATATTTATGAAACAATATATTTCTTATGTGAGAGTTAGCATATTTGAAATTAAACAAAAACATATTACATTGTCGATTGAAATCTCCAACACACTTTGAGATATCAAAATCATTTATATTCTTAGAAATATCATTCCCTAGATGAGTTACTTTTGATGCAATATCATTATGTCTTCCATTTATCGTGATTCCTGGATCCATAACTGGTTTACCATTACAGCTGAAAACTATTAACTGACTCTTTTCAGGGTTAAACAGAATATCAAATTTAATGGCATAATCTAAACAAGTTTTAATCATTTCTTGAAGAGCAGTCACGCTAGGTGACAGCAGTGTCAAGTCATCTGCATAACCAAATGCTCCTGCAAAAACATTGCCCATAAAGCACCCTATCCCATTGTCACATAACTCTTCTATCAGCCCATCTAGATACAAACAGATCATTTTGACATAAGTAAAAAGAATTCTGGCCTAAAAATTGCAAAAGTGTCGTAGCTTGGTGAGAGTCTCGAGAGATATCTGTATTAAAATCACCACATACACATACATAATCATTGGGGGTTCCTTGTAATATTGAGTCAAGCTCATTTAACGTGATCTTGTATTCATCCAAATTTCCATTCAGACACCTATCATCACAAGGCATGTATACACAACATATTAAAAGCATTTTCCCGTCATCTAGAGTAACTCTTACAGCTGTTAACCTCGAAGATTCTAAAACAACAGGTTCCACATTGAGTTTTAAGTCACGTTTCCATAAGATTGCACACCCCCCATGAGGTCTCCCTTTTAGCAAAACATCTTCTTTCATTGCACTAACCCCATGTTTTCCTATTCCATTTTGCAATTTATCAAACCATCCAAACTGTGACTTACACAACCCATGTTCTTGTAACAGTAAAAAATCAGCTAAGCCAAAAAGCTCCTGTCAAAAAGGTAATTTTGCATCATTCGCACATTGTGTGTTATAAGAGATAATTGAAATGTTATGCAGCATGTTCATCGTTCTGATTTCTTCTCCTCCACCACCTTTGAACACACACACCATAAGGCCATATATCTCCGACCATTACTTTGTCTTTCTCAATAACGGGCACAGTGAGTTTATATGAACAGTATGCAGCATTCGGATTGGATACACACTGAATTTCAGCTGAAATAACACCTTGACCCGTTATATATTCCAACATCTGCTCATCAGTTGTGTCCTTCGACACTCTGGATATGAAGAAATCTCTCTTCGGCAGAGGTGCCCCATGAACTACACCACTCTTCACACTACCGTGTACCTTGTATGCCGTGTACCGTGTACCTTGTATATATATATATATATATATATAAAATACACACACTATATATATAAAATACACACACTCACAACGCCCAATTAAGAGACATATCCTATCTAAAGTGTATTATTATACTATCATTAGCAGGCCCTTAACAGTTTGACCAAGGCAACCGCTTTGCATCTCATGCAAAGTCATTAAAAACATGATAAAAATAGGAA